AATAAGGTACAGATTTTTTTTTATGGTGAAGAGAATTAACTACTGAAATAATTTACTAGAGGCTGTGCAGGGTTCTCTATCACAAGTAGTCTTTAAATCAAGACCAGGTGTCTCTCTAAAATACAGCTTTCCTCAGCAGAAGGATGGGCTCACCCCACCACAGGGGATGATGTTCTCCAGCCAGACACCAGATTGTTTGACTGTAACATTTCCTATTGGACTTAAAAACCTGTGGATCCTGTGGACAGAAATAACTGTGTACCCCATAACAGAGAACAGCTCTTGCATCCACTAAAAGCACCTGGGAAAGTCTGGCGGATTTATGAAGAAAAGGGACCAGAGTTGCCTCTTGCAGTTTATGTGAGAAGAAAGCCTCCCTGCAGGTAAAAGCCCAGAGGCTGGCTAGTGGCTGGGCAGGGCTGATGCCCACAGGGGACCTGGCTCTGTTCACAGGCTAAAGGAAGAGCTGAGAAATACTGATGTACCCTGAGTGCCTGCTGCTCCAGCAGCGGATGGGATTGAGAGATGATGGATTTTATGGATGGGCTTCTGTACTGGCACTTGTGCTGGGAACTGCCACGGCGCTGCAAGGCGATGGGATAGAGAACGAAGCTCCTTCTTGCCTCCAGGTCAAGTCTGCAAAATGTAGATGTGAGGGTGTGGGTGGGGAAAAGAAAAGAGAAAAGCAAGCAGAGCTCAGAGGTGCACTGATATCAGGACATAGTTTATATGTAAGGTTTCACTTTCACCAGTGACATCCAAACCAGCTTGGGAGGTAGGCATTCAGGAAAGTGTTATCTGTGTTCCTCTAGACTGGGTAGCAGCTTGGCTGCTGCTGGAACTTTATTAAATTCAGACTCACTAAGTGAAGCTGTTCTGGAGAGAAAATAAAGCAAAAAAATAAAGGAAGAAAAAAAAAGAATCCTTCCCTGCCAGAAGTTGTGGCTTTTCAGAGCAATCTCATATGAGCTGCAAAATCCAAGTAGTCAGCACTCCAGGTTCCAGCTGCTCTGATGCCTGGAGAGGTGACGCTGTGCAAACAGAGCTGCGAACGAGGTGAGAGGTGTTGGGGCACAACTTGCGCTGCACTCGCCGGGCACTGGCGAACCCCTTTGCAACATACACTGTGCAGTCAGCAGCGTAGCCATGGTGCTCTTGGTGTGTATCTACAAATTGCACATCCCTTTCCAAGCTGATTGTTTCTTCCTTGGCTGGCTGAAGATGTCCGCATAATCCAGGATAAATCATTCTGATTCAGTGAGCAGTTTCTCACCTAACTACCTCGCCCAATCACAGCCATCACATTGGCAGGCTTTGCTGACAGATGATGCTACTTTTGGCAGACAGATTCCTGACATTTACAGCTTCTGCCTCGGTTCCACTAGAAGCAGCCTGCATGGCAACACAATCTGACCCCACCGGGTTCCTGGCGCAGCTCATCATCTTTAGCTGTTTTAAAGGCAGCTTCTAAAAATCTTTGTGCTTCCCCTCTCAGCACCTCTCAGTGTGAATGCTGCAGCACGCTTACAGATGGGGAAAACAAGTCACAGCAAAACATAGGCTGGTTCTGGGAAGCTTCTTCACAGTCATCGCTCACATTGAGTAAGTGTCCACAAGCTGTGTCTGAAACTGGGGCTATGGGTGAGGACATGTGTTGTCCCCACGAACTCCAGCATGCTGCCCCTATGCGTGACGTGAAGTGCTTTACCAGCTTGCTGCGCTGGCTCAGGGCCAGCAGGCAGAGTACTGCTGAGCATCTGCAAATCCTGCGCTGGAAGTGCTGTGGTTCCCCTCTCCCGGCAGGCAGGGAATGTGTACTGCTCACTACAGCTGGTAGTTAATCCCCTATCCGAACTCCAGCACCTCTCGGCTCCTCCCGGGAATCCATGGCCAGGCGCAGACACCCTGGCTCCGCTGTATGCAATTCAAGGGTGCCCATCAGCTGGCCCCGCTCTGCCATCAGTCTGCTGCCCCAGGAATTGGGGAAATCAAGATACATTGGCTCTGACATTAATGCTTCTGTCTTATTTGCTTAATTGCATTCCCTGGCTCTGGATCATTCTTAAGTCTTAGAGAACAGGATCAGATTTCCAAAGATGTTCAAGTGTCTACAGATGTAGCTGGGCTCCTGTTGGGATCTGCAAACATTCCCAAACTGGCAAGCCAATTACCTCTCAAAATCTATTTAGTTGTTCTGTCTCTGTGGGGAGGGGCCAGTCTCAAAGGAATCGGGCAGTTCAATGTTTGCATGAACTGATGAGCAGCAGGTAAGAGCTGATTCTCTGTCCTATCCCCTAACTCACCTGTGCACCTCATAGCCAAGGCTATTGCAGCATTATATCATATCTGCTTCTAGATGCCGTTATTTAGCACCTTGCTCTGATCAGTGCCTGACACTGAAATCATGAGTACAAATTAAAATGTGCATTCGAAAAGCGCCTTCAAGCAGCCCACCTGTGCAGTCTGTGCCCCCGGACACTGAGCCTTCCAAATCAACAACTTCCTTTAACCTGCATCATTTTTCTTGCCTTTTATGCCATTGAAATGCTTGCTTCATTTTTAAATCCTGAATTAAATAAGCAATCCCTGTGTGTTTCTGACATCAGTTTTTGAGCTCTTGTGAAAAGCACATTTTCATTTCCATGGGCTTTCCTTGCTTCCTGTGTTCTCACAGGTGCTGCCCTACGGAGATGGCTGGGTGAAGCAAATTTGTGTGTTGCTCACATTTGAAGAAAGGATATTGGGGCATTCAGAGATTGAGTGAGTTCTTCAGGCTCTGAATGGGCCAGTGTCTGAGCTCAGAAGAAAACCTGAGGGCACCAGAATCAGTTTTTTCTGTTTGCATCGTGTTTGAGTCTTGCCTGTGATCACCTGATGCAGTTCTTCCTCTTCTTTGCTCCTCATGTCTCTCCCGGCTAAAGCATCCCTTTGGAAGGCAGCAGAGCCGACAGAGTGCCCATGTAAAAATGACTAAGGGTAGGAAGTCCCAGAATGCTCACTTGCCTTTTCTTCTTGCACCAGCTATGCCCAGAACTATTGCCAACAACAAAGGAAAATTTTCTCAGCTCAAAACTGAAACTCTCTTGAATCAAATATCATTACTTTACCTAGAAATCATTCATATATATATATTAAAATCTTGTACAGTTTTATAATTATTTCAATTAAAAATTGTCACCTGAATGGAGACTTTCACCAGAAGTGACACTCCCATCTCTACTGCAAGCCTTTGCCCACTCTAGCTTCTGGCCATGTCTAACTTTGCCCTGGTATTTGGAGGTGTTTGTTGGCTTTGCTCAGGCATATTCAGAAGAGAGGCATGTGTGCCCATGTCCAAACACACACTTGGTGTCTGGCTGCGTATGTTGTGTCGAAGGACAGGGATGCTTTTCTGGCTGTCCCCAGGCTGAGAACTGGCCCCTAACAAAGCAGTCTGGTGAGCCATTTTTTTTCTCCTCCTGAGGCTTTGACATTTGCATGTTGGTGTTTTTATAATTCCTGGGATCTTTCCAGCCCTCTGCATGTCCTCTGGCAGAAGAGTCCCTGCACATTCCTGCATTTACACCTTCTCCTCCATTTCCATCCTAACCCTCTGAGTGCCGAAAGGTTTTCTACAGAGGAAATAAAACCTGTGTGCCCTGGAGGCTGCAAGGTCATAGGCTGGTGAGGGAACGCCACAGCATGGTGATGAATATCCCTGCACAGTATTTCCTACTGCATATAAGCCAAAACCAATTGACTTGAGAACGGCTTTTTTATATGACTTGTCTCAAGAGCAGGACTAATATTTTTCAATGGCAGATGTGTTATAGTGCTTTCATTCTGTTTACATGGCTGGGAAAGTGACCCATCTTACTTTTCATAGCTGCCATCTGTTGGTCAAATTCATTCCAATGCAATCAACCAAGTCATGCTTTTGTTTTTGGTTTTTTTTTATTTGTTTTGTTCTGGTTTTAATTATTATTGTCTCTGCGAATTTAATTCTGGGCTTTTAGATCGGTGAGTAGGACAAGTGTTTCTCTTGGTCTTACAACAGCTGCTTGAACATCTTGGCTTACTGATGGTAGAAAATATTCTATCTTTCTGCTTGCTTGCAAGTTTTTCAAAAAAATAACCCAACCAAAACCAAACCTTTGAACAGGTGAGCACTGAGTCAAAGCAGTGGAATGATTGATTTGAAGCTTTCTCACAATGCTTTGTCCAGGTCAACAGAGGACAATAATTAAAAGATCCATATCAACATGGTTCAGGTTTCAGGCAAATTAAGAGTCGAAGAATGCCAAGAGCCTCTTTCTCTCGAAAAAGAGAAAGGTCACATATCATTCCCTAAAGTAAAGCTTCTTTCTCAAATTCCCGTACACCAAGACCATATCCAGTCCATTCTTATTAAGTAATAATTTGTTCTGTTTATTTTTATCAACAGTCCTTCCTTCTGCCTTGTAATTATGCTTTGTAGTGACAAGGAAGCAGAAATGGAGAAGCTTTCCTGGGCAGCCTGCAGAGAGGTGGGCTGTGCTTCTGCCGAGAGAAAGGGTATGAGGATGGGCAGAATCCCAGCGCGTAGGGGCAAGTGCTGCTTTTTCACAGAATTTATTGGTGGTGTCCCGTTTCCACGTGTGGTAGGGGTCCTGGCTACCAAAGCATTCAGACCTTCAAAGCAGACCAGAGCTGGGAGCCACCGTCTTTCCACAAGTGTCTTACTGGGCTCCAGACACCACCACCACCCTCCCGCTATTCATTCCTGACTGTGGGAAGCAATGGAGGCTGCCAGCTCTGTGTCTGAGGCTAAGGGAGTCTCCTTGGAGAAACACTGCCCTGAAGGATTTCACTTGGTACCTAGCTGTTTTCCCCAAATCCCTGTTGGAGGTCTAAGGAGCTGACATCTGAAAGCCTGGCTGGACTCGCAGCCACGCGTGCCTTTGAACCTCCTGCACTGAATGTCAGACAAGCTCTGGTGAAACATCTCTGCTGCTCTTGGGAGCTCCCATGCACTGGCAGTGATGACGGAGGTCCGAGGCCACCTCTGTGAGATGGTGAGAGAAAATCCCAGGCTTCAGAGCACCCAGCCAGTGCCTCAGGTGCTGCAGGGGTCTTCTCACTGTTTGCACATCTGCGTACAGCTTGCCTCTCAGTAGAAAGCTGTGTGCCTTCACAGCCACATCTTGAGGACCCCGCCTTGGAGTGGGGTGGGCAAAATCTGTTGACAGCGGGTCCTCGGTGAGGATGGCAGCAAAGTGATTCAAATCCCCACAGTGACTCTGTGGCCTTCTACAGAAGAGCAAATCACACTGTGAAAAGAAGGGTTTAAGTGTCTCTTTATGGTGGTAAAAATTTAGGAGTGATTCTACTGCAGGCAGCAGAGCTATTCTGATAGAGGCAAGAAGCAAATCATGTCCTCTCTTTTCTCAATATGGGCAAGAAGAATGCGCCTTCTGTCCCACGTGGCACTGAAGAACGGGATGGACAGAATTGGTCTTTGTTTTGAAAGCACTGGAAATCAGAGACTTTCAAAGCATTTGCAGGGAAATGCTATAATTTAAGAGGATTGTAGGAGAGTTTTGGTTAATGTAACTATTCAATTACCTATAGAAAATGGAATTTACCATGTAGGAGAAATGATTAAAGGAGAAAAAAAAGCCCTTCTTAAAAGAAGCTGAAGATGGTGTCACTGTTGGTTTCAGAGTGATCTTATTTTAACTTCTACTGAGAAATTTTGACAGTATCTGTGTATTTTTACAAAGTCCTTAGGGATCCGCTGCAAATTTCTTGTACTTTTGGGGAGGGAATGTGATTTTTTTTTTTTAAGCTAGAAACTAGTTGTATACTGACTATTAGTTTTTACCTGCACTTATATTTCCATCAAACATCTGATGACCACTATATTAAGGGCTGTGTTTATTTTGCCAGAAAACCTTTTTTGTTATAAAATAAAATCTCATAGGAAAAACATCTGATTGGAGAAAAAAAAAAAAGCATTTTCCTCTGACAAAAAGCTCATGCTTGTTTAATAGTGTTTAACATTTTTCAGAGCAGGTTGGGGAAAGAAAATGAAATGAAAAAAATGTGGGCAGCTGAGAATAAAGGTAACAACCTCTTAGACTGGCTGCACGTGTGGGTGGTGGTGGTGACTGTGTTTTTTCTGTGTAAGTACAAATGACTTCTGAGATTTCATATCTTTATCATCTTTGTTAAGGTGGACCAGCTCTTCACTAGGAACCTGCCCAAAATACCTAAGCACTACTCTTCCACCTTAAAGTGGAAGTTCAGTGAAGCGAAGCTGAATTTCACACAGCCAGGTAAAGACCAGTGGAGAGCTCCCACTGCAGAAACAGGTCAGGTTAAACAGGGCTCTGTCTCGCATTTCGCCTACCTCCACTGCCTGTAGCTTGGCAGAGGTGGGCAGCAGATGAAAGGGGAGGAGATGAGATGGTGAAAGGGGTGATGACAGATGGGTACCACCCATACATTCCTCCTCGGATGCATTTTCACATCTGTTTGGCATTTCAAGGGTTGTTCCTATGAGCATCACTTAGAGACATTCAAGCAGGTGAGATCCTGCACTTGAAAGGCCAGGAAGGAGAAGAGTTTACCAGGGAGGTACATTGGACATGTGTGGTAAAGTGTGGCTGTATAAATTAAAGGGCTGAATGAGCCTCCAAAGAAATGTGGACTATCCAGCCTCTATACCAAACTCAGTGCGGTCTCTGGGTTTTCCTTTTCCTCCTTGGGAGAAGGTATTTTTCCAATGGTCTGAACTCCTGACCCAAACTTTTGCAGATCCATAAGTGGATAGATTTTGTTACTCCCCAGATGCTACTATTTTTAAGACCTAGATCATCTGTAGAAAATAGGACTCAGATGCTTACAAGTCTTTGTAGGAACTCTGCCTGGGGCAGCAAACCATCTGTCTTTTAAAATCTTTTTTTACCTTGTGGGTGGTGTTCAGTTGTAGCCTCACAAATAAAGCTGTAGCCCTATATATGCTTCCATTGCCTTCTGTCTTGCCAGCAGTGCAGCATGCCTGGGCATGAAGCCTCCAGCCCCAGAAATGTCAGCAGGTACCGAATGCTGCAGGGTTCCTCCTCTGCAGTCCCAGGGAGAGGAATGCAACCACCCTGTCTTCTTCCATCTGCTGGCATCCGTAATGTGGAGGAAATAAGGGACAGAGGCATTCATTCAGAAACTAATTCTTTAAAGTGCCTTTAAATACCTTAGTTGAATAACTTTGCTCTCTGACTTCCCAGTCCTGCCGTAAATGCAAAAAGCGGCAAAGATATTTTATGAGAGTTTTCAGTGGGTTTTGTTAAATGGAATAAACATACATTTGTAACATTCAGCAAACCCAGCTCTGAGACTATTGCTGTAACAGTGTTAAGGTAGTACAATAGTCAAATCAATGTCATAACTGAGTCTGAGGCAATGAGCCTCAGTGAGGCATCAGTGAGCTCAAGCTGCAGGTGTCCATTTCAAACCACAGATTCCCACGCCAAGGAATATGTGTGCAGGTGCCCAAAGGAGATGTTTTCCTTCAAAGGAGTGTCTCAAATATTGTTATGCTCTTCATGGGCACAGGACATGAGTGCCTTTAGTAGTTTTTGGATCTTCCATGCAGGGAGGCAGCCCAGCATGTGAAAACCAGGTCAGCTCTGGTTAGGGCATTAGAGACAGTGACAGTCTGATCTAGCAAGGAGGCAACTTCTGCTTTGACTCGTCTGCTGATCTAGTAGAACAGGATCTTCTTCTGCACTGTCTTGTATTAAAAGACACCAGTTGCTTTGTCTTAGAAAGCATCTTTAAGCTTTGGGATCCATTAAGTGACGTATTGCTTTTGGAAACAGATTTGATCTATTCAACTCTCGGTAGGGAGGTGGGAGGCTACCATGGAAGGCCCAGTCTCTCCTGACAGTTTCCTTGCAAAATCTGCCATTGAGGTGTCATGGACAATATTTCTTCCATATCACAAACGCTGAATGTGAGTTTTGTCCATCCATCTGGAACTCTATATCAGATTTTTTTACCTATTAATGGATTTTCTGTCATTATTCCATTAACTCTTGAAAAATTTTGCCTGGTGGGAGATTAGGGAAGCAGCTAAAGTTTAGAATTTTTTCCCATGATATTCGATGTGTAGACAGGGCTACTTTTCCATTTTTGTCAGGATGAGAGCCACTTAGGATAAAGAAATTCAAGATTGCTGCACACCAGACACAGGCCATATTTGGGTAACTTTCCTTATGAGAATCAAGGACAAGTTTCAGACTAAAACTTCAAGGCACGCAGTGGCATGGATCCAGTCTATCTAAAAGATTGCCTGTAGCTCTGGAATGAGGACAGTGAAGGAAAATCCTTTCCCAAACCACAGTGAGACTTTCTGGTTCCCAAATAAAACTCCTCCATGTGGCGACGCCTTCTCAGGAATGGATGCCCATGCTTTCCTCCATGGTAGCAGGGCGTCCAACACTGCGGTATTGCTGCTGGATACCACTGGGCTTTAAAAGGTCACCATTAAGCACTGCGGTCCCTGTTGTTTTTCTTTACGTGGGAAACATGTCTCTTATAGGCCCCTCTGCCAGGATGCTAAGTGAATGCACTTCTACGGGAATGCAGCCCTCCAGCCAAGCTGTGAGATCTTCACATCTTTTCTTGGCCAAAATTTTGCTTTCTCCACTGTCGATCTATTAGTTATGCTCCTCCAGAGGGCAATGGGAAGCCTGAAGGAGACTGGTGGGACTAGCGGCTGCACTGAATGGCTACCTTATTGACCAGCACTGGGACCATGGGCAAGTCCCAAGCCTATTTTGAAGCAGCACGTAGCATCTGATCTTTTTTCAGTTATAGTTGCTCCTTCCCTAAGGTGATCTCTGCTAGGTGGTAGGAGTGGCCTGAGCGTCCTACAAGGGAAGAAAGGCAGAGCTCCATAGGAAAGACAGTAGCTAAGGTGCCTTGCTACTATATGAATGAAGTGGCACCGGACCCTTTGGCAGGTGAGGTCTAGGAGGATTTTTACCAAGAAGCCTGGAGTTCTCAGAAGGGTTTTAGTTCAGTCAGTTGATGAGTAACATAAACTTTGGGCTCAGAAAATAACAGGCATTAAAGGTGATCAGGGATTTACAGTCTGCATTCCTAAAACTCTAGAGGGCAAGGTATTAGGTGGAGGCTAGAACCATTTATTTTAGTTATATTAAATGGAAACTCTAGACACTGGCTGACTCTGCCTGTTCCTACTGCTAACACCACCTGGCAGAAAGGTTATATTATTATTATCTGCTGTTTACTTTTCTCCTTTTAAAAATCTTTCAGCCTCCCAATCAGAAATGGGCACAATGCCATGGGCTCTAAGACATGAGGCTCAAGTGAGGAAAAGCAATCAGATATGGAAAGCAGTTGCAAACATTTTTCATTCGGCTATCTGGGCAATCCTGGGGAATGCCAAAAGGATCCGGATGAAAACAGTCTACTATCTGTAAAAAGGGATGACAAGTAATATTTTTCACAAAGATAGAGAGCAGCTGTACTCATGAATCTGTAGCTCAGGTAATGCTGCCTCACCCACACGCCCAACATAGCCAGCAGCTAACCAGGACCATGGGAAGGACCATTGCCTGAGCGGTGGGCACCAGGCCACCATGGCTCTGCCAGCAGGTCTGCGATCTTCTCCAGGACACTGCAGACTCCCCAAGATCTGTGCCTCACTTTGTTCCTTTGTTGGTAATGTTTGAGTCGTGGGTTGTTCTGTGGTGTTTTTCCAGGTATGTGACAGTTCCAGATGGTGAGAAGGGCAAGAATTCAGTAGGGCTGCTTCTAGGGTTGTGTGAAATGGTTGAGAGCTGAAGGAACAAAGAGCTACCCTGAAACATTTCCTGGTACTTCAAAACCCCACTGGTTCCCTGCTCTTCTGTCTCAGGACTGACCACCTCTGCTACATCTGTAAAATTAGCCATCCCCAAAAATGCAAATAAAAGGGGAATTTTCCCCATACTATTGGAAACCCTTGAGCCAATTACCATGTTTATCACCTTGGGAGAAAAGACCCTTGCAGGTGAATGATTCTCTTCCTTTTCAGCAGTACAAAGTGAAAATTTTGTTTCAGGAGCCTTTATGCTCCCTTTTGGAGGCAAGGGGAGTGAAAGCCTGCTTGGGCATGGCAGCTCATGCCCTACGTGTTTGTGTAGAGGATCACTATGATGTTTCCTGACCCTGTTGCTCTGTCTGCACAACATAGATTCAAGCCACTGACCTCCCCCCCACTCAGTAAACCAGGGAAACCAAAGCCATTTTTCTCCCTGGCTCTTCCTGTAAGGATATGACACTCACAACAGCTCTTTTAGCATGGCAACTCCACCGAACCCACCAGGAAGAATAAATTAATTCTTAAAAATAAACAGCTGTCCATAAAAGAGTCTTCCGATATCCTAGGGGTCTCAACGACAAATCACCTTTGCTACCTACCCCCAGTGAATATTCCCTGCTTGTCAGGCCAGCTAATTGTTTTGGAGTGGATGTAATACATCTCCTGCCAGGAGAGGTTTGTGAGGCACATGATGCTGTAAACGATCTTCTGTTTATCTAATCTCTTCTCTTGTTGCTATCATTGCACATATATACAAACTCCCTTTATAGCTTCCCTCCAGCCACTGCTCTGGTTACAAGCTTAAACAAGTCCTTGCTCATTTTAGAGCTACAGGCTTATTTAAGGAAATGAATGCAATAGCACTAGGCTGTTATTGTCTCCTAGCAGGTAAGATGGTGTGCTGTCCGTACTCAGCCTGATTTCAATAGCAAGGTAATGATTTTTGCAGAAATTCCTCTCCAGTCAGCAGCTGCTCAGCTGGGACACAGGTCTGCTGTTCTTGGCTCATCTCACATATGCAGAGACGACCCTAGTTTGTTTTAACATATGGAAATAAGTCCTAAAAACAGATATACATACCCAAGTCAGAGGAAGGTGCGAGAAGTATGTCAGCCAAGAGCTGGATCCTGGTATCTGCTGATGGGACAGCAATGCAGCTCACTAGAAGACACTCGGGCAAAGCTGAAGAAAGGACGTGAACGCACCATCCAGCACCCAATGCACATTCCTAAAGCAAGTGCTTAAGCCACAAGGCTGCAATAAAAGTGTGGCTTAGCGTGTAGGCCAGTACTAGAAGTGACCTTTTCTCTGTGTTGCCAGAGAGAAATGTGAGACCAGAGAAGGTTTTGTGATGGCTTATAATCTCCCTATCACTTCTGTAGTGAGTGAGCAGGCAGGCAATTAAGTTTTAATTGAAAAATTGGAGGGAATGGGGGAAAAAAAATA